AGTTTATATGAAGGACAACTGGAGATCAAACAAAAAATGAGACCTTTTTCAGAAACAGTAATTTTTTATATTTCTTTCAATTAGGTGATATTTCTCCCAAGATCTGTGAGAGTAAAGGATCATCTTTCAGGATAGGTTGTACTCTCACAGATCTTGGGAGAAATATCACCTAATTGAAAGAAATATAAAAAATTACTGTTTCTGAAAAAGGTCTCATTTTTTGTTTGATCTCCAGTTGTCCTTTATATAAAATCACTACTTTGCACTTTTAAACTGGCTAATCCAATAGATTGAGAAATTCACAAATACTACCTGGTTCTTAAGATGTATTACTTAAAACTCTTCTTGATTTTACTTTGTTACTTTTATCTGCAACTTTTCACTAGTCCTGCTATGGTTAAACTTTTGTCAGAATTTCCATTAAAACCTTCATTCTTCAAGTTTTACATCTCAATGCTTTTCAATGATAGGGTTTATGCTGTTGATCTTCATGCACTTTTTTTTCTCTGTGCAGTTTAGAGCATCTGCTCAAAATATCAAGACTTTATAAAGCTAATTGCTAAGTACACAATTCTCCCATTCATTCCATAGTTTCACATGCCTTTATTTATTATGCATTTCATGTTTGTTATTTAGTGTAATCAATGTAAGCTTTTTCCACACATCAAACAGTTAGAGAGCTGTAACCCCATACATTTACTTTCTTTGTTCTAAGCAGAAGGAAAACAAAAACAACTTTGACAGTACTTGAACAACAAAATACATGGTTGTATATAGAAAACAAAAAGTCATTTGTTAAGGCTGTGTAATCGAAATCTGACTTTTTGTATATAATAGCTACAATCAATGTCTGATGTATATTTTTCAATGTCTTCCTACATAAGGTACAATACAAAATCCCTTTTGTACAGTAAGGTCTTTTATATCATGAAAATAATCATATTCACATGAACGCCTCCCTCCATGTTAAGTGACATTAGTTTTCTGCTGCCATATGACAGACTGCCAAATCATTCCAGCCCCACAAGGGTGGAGAAGGAAAAAGGCAGAAAGGCAAGAAATCCCCCTTTGGGAAGAAAGGAGACTCCCTCCCTTTGCAAGTCCAATTCAGTTCAAAAAACTTTTAATATAATTTAAGATGTGAATGAAGACAATAAATTCTGCCTTTTGTCCCTGGTTCAAGGGACACGAATGAAATCTGTGCTGCCTTCCATATGCCCCTTTTCCAATTGTCCATCTCCATCCATTTACTGCTGCCCTCAGAAAGAGGGCTATGGCCGTGATTACACAAAAAAAAAATCCTCAAACAAGGTGTTTGTAACCAGATGGTTGCTCTAGTATGGTTACAAAATAATAATCTGTTTTACATAGTTTTAAGAAACACCTAAGTTCTTAGCTAGTATCTGTATGTGTTTAAATGAGACAAAATAACGGGTATAAGAGGAATAGTGTAACTGTAGATGCAAATAATCAAGAAAAAGACCTCTCATAAATAATACATCCTTCCTAGAGAGAGACCTCATATTAACTCACTAAAGAGTTCAGTAGGTGTTGGATCAGGCCCCAGAAGAGGTATCAACATGCCAATAGCAGTGGAGATTATACTCCTGGGGGAATTCTGTGCCAAACAATTAAAAATTCTGCACACAATATTTTAAAATTTGGCAAAGTTCTTCATATTTTATTTGTCAAAATAATACAATATAATGCCAGTTTCAATTATTTTGGTAATTTATTTAAAAATATGTCAGTAAGAATGTAACAATACAAAACAAACAAACAAAGATTCTGGTAATATTTTTTTTGGACAAATAGATTCCTTACTAGGCATATTAATACAGAATTTTGAGTAATTCATTTAAATTACAATACAGAACTGTATTTCCTGCACCCATCAGAAGCAGTGCAAAAGCTTGGGAGTTTCAGGAGTAACGGAGGAGCTGAGGGAGAGGAAAGGAGCCTGGAGTGAACCTGGAGGGCTGTTGGGTGTGGGTGGGAGTTTTTTTTTTTGCGGGGGAGGGGGCAGGATTGTTAGGGAGCCTCCCCCATGCAGACTCTGGCTGATCACAAGCCTCTCCCATTCAATCAGGCACATCTGCCCCTGTCCCCGCATCCCTCCATCCTAGGGTGACCAGACAGCAAGTGTGAAAAATCGGGATGGGGGTGGGGGGTAATAGGAGCCTATATAAGAAAAAGACCCCAAAATCGGGATTGTCCCTATAAAATCGGGACATCTGGTCACCCTACTCCATCCTGATGGGTCCCTGCAGCCTCCGTCTTCATGTGGCTATGCACCCCCACTCCCATTCAACCCCTGGCTCAACGCTGTGTCAAAGTTAGACTCAGGACTCATAGTTTGTCAGACCACTCTGTTTTATTAGCACAGCGCTGCCATAACACATACAGATACTGTGAGCCCCCATGCAAGATTCAAACAGTCTTATTTATACAGATAAAAGGGTGCGAACTAAACAAAGGGACAGAGAGAGCAAAATTGTAAAATTTGCATAGGGCACAATATGCATATCCTGCTTCCTTATTAACTCTTATCGATCTAAGGCTAATGCTTCACCAATTGCCCTTAAGTGGGGCAATTCATTAAGCAGTTAATGTCTGCTTTCCTGCCCGCTTTCCTGCCCCCCTGGCTTGCAGCATTTCTCATTTCTACTTAAAGGTACATACAGCATTCTTTAATTCATTCTATTTCTTTAATATAATTCATTTCACTTTCACAGCTGTCAGCCCCTAGCTCTGGAGCCCACTAGCGCACCTCCCCCCCCAGTCTGTCCTCCCCACTAGCCATTCTGAACCCCAGTCTGTGATCTCCCAGCAGCCCTGTGTGCACCACTCTGTCCTAACCTGGCTCCATGGGCCAGGTGCTGTGATGAACTTCTACTCCTGGCGGAATTCTGTGCCACTGCATGCGCACAGAATTTTTTTCCCCCCACAGAAAATATATTCTGCCCCAGAAATGCTGCATTCATGCTGTTGGCTGTTCTGGCGCCACAGTAGCCTCTGGTGGGCGAAAAGCAGAACTGTAGCACTTCAGGGGCAGAATGTATTTTCTGTGGGGGAAAATAAAATTCTGTAGGACACATGAATTCTGAGCACATACAGTCGCACAGAATTGCCCCAGGAGTAAGATTACCTCCATGCCATTGGCTACCCACTCTGAGTTGTTCCTTAAAGGCACAATTTAGCCCATAAGATGTCAATATGATGAGTAAAGTAGTGCCATTTTTTAACATTCCACTTCTGATCATAAGCACATTTGAAAAACTGCACATCACTTCCTTCATTATTGACATTCTGTAGCTAATTTGATGATAGAATCTTATAAAATTACGGAATAATTATCAGTTGCTTGTATTGTGATAGCACCAAAAGATCTGATCAGGACTGAAGTCCTATTGGGCTATACACTGTATGAAGGAGAGCCACTTTAAAAAAGCATATACATTGAAGTCACTTTTGAGCAGTTATGTAAAGCTTTCCTAACAAAGCCTCAACTAGGAAAAATCTATCAAGTTTTGGGCTTTGTTATCCATGCGAAACTCAGATCTGATTTGCAGAAAGCAACCTTGATCAAGTTTCAGGTGTTGGTGAGGGATTTAGGGGTTTGGTGGACCCGCGTACATTAAGCAAACTCTAAGGTTTCAGGTGAGCTTTGCACTGAGATCTTGGCTTTGTGTAATATTTGTTGTAAAACTTTACAAGGAATCTTTACAAGCCAGAACCAGTGGGTTTCACATAGCTGTGCTCTCAAGACCATAAAGGCATATCTACACAGCAGTTAAATACATGAGGCTAGGCTGGGTCAGCTGACTCAGGGCTGTGGGGCTTTAAAATTGCGATGTAGATGTTCAGGCTCTGGGACCCTCCCACCTTGCGGGGTCCCAGAGCCTGGACTCCAGCCTGAGCCTGAACATCTACATCGCAATTTTATAGCCTTGCAGCCCAAGCCCCCTGAGCTTGAGTCAGTTGATCCAAGCCAGTCGCAGGTGTTTAACGGCTGTGTAGACATTCCCTAAGAGTCTTGGCATCATGCAGATGAAAGGAAGGAAAGGCAGGCAGTTCTTCTTTTCAAGTGTAAATTTTGAAGATTAAAAAGCACAGATATTAAAAAGACAAAGTCTGCAACATTTTTCCATTATACTATGTCACACTGGGCAAAGTGAAAGTCCCAGCTGTAACACTTCATGCCACATTCTCAGTGTCTTCCTCAAAATAGGCTAGTTTGGTTCCTGTTGCTACATATCTGATGTTCTCGATTTCCCCGCCGCCATTGCTAGGCTTCTGAAAATGAATTTCAATCATGTCCTGCATGCTCTCCTCATCCTCCTCAACCTCTTGGATTCCTGACAACAGTATGGTCCTCTTGGAAATCCCAGAAAATATCTGGTAAGGAGGAAAACACACATTGTATGTTCAGTTTCAGGAATTGATAGGTTGCACAGTTAAAAATGTCAATGTGAAGATATCGCTACAACCTTGCCTTTCATTTTAGGATTTCTACTATGGTGTTGGTCTAGTACGAAAATCAGTGGGAGGTTTGAATTCTATAGAGTCAAACAATCCTGGATATTTGCATCTGGGCCAAAGTGGGCCAATACACACTGGAGTGCATATTACAAATATGGGAATAGAGAAATCATTTCTAACTTCATAGGTAGATGGATAAAACTTTATGCAGAGAAAAACAGCTTACCGAGAATCCACTGATATACATGAACTGTGGGGTTTTGCAGAGAGGATTTACCGTTTGTAAAACTTTTTTGGGTGCTTTTAGTTTGATTGGGAATGTTGGTATAACATACCCATTAGCCACAGCACAGGTAATGAGGGATTATATTAATGCTAGATTTAGTGGTGCTTTTATGATATGAACACCGATTCATCAATTGTGTGTAACTTAAATGAGAACAATTAAGCCATAAAATACCTGATGGAACCCTATCTCTGCCCTGACTGTAGCACAGACCCAACACTGGTTACTGCTGTGACACATGATCAAAAAATCATTTGTGTGTAATTTCTGAGTGAATTACAACCCTCATATTGTAGGTCATAAGATCATCAACAGAGGAACAGGCTATGGGGGACTCTCTGCAAGGAGTGAACACTCCCCACAATCTGTAAAGCTCACAGCTCCTGTGTCCCAGAGGAGCCTAGGGCCAGGTTGGTAGCTGTACAGCAATGTGAATTCACCAGCAAGCTCTTGTATACACCCATCTAAAATGAGGCAGAAACGGCTGCTCTGAGAATACAGCAGTTTTCCTGCCATTCCGTGACCTGAGAGGAAGATTCTGATCACAATCCCACCCCCCCCCCCCGAGCACAGATTATTTGCTGTTTTAGGATGTAGTGTCAATAGGATTAATTTACCTGAAATTTTTCCAAGTGCTTTTCTATGCTTGGGGAAACAGAAAGCATAAAGCACTTTTCATTTATGCAGAAAGGATGCTTTGTACATTTCACACAGTTGTTAGCAACTAGAACAAAAAATTCAAAAGTGGAAAATAAAATTAATGCTATCTAAGGTGTATTTTGTAAGCACATCAGAAACAAGAGCAATCCTTTTAGTATATAGTTAGAAACTAAATACAATTTTGTAAAGTTTACTATTTCAAAATTGTAACTGACTTTTATGACAAAACAGATGTTAATTAATTGTCCACTAAAGTTTATGGACCAAATCTACAGCTGATGTAAATTAATGCAGATCCACTGATTTTAGTGGAGTTTCACACATTGACACCAGCTGAGAATCTGGGTAACTTCCAATGACATGACAAGTATATTTTCCCACTTTTCTCTTTCCTGTAAAATGAAGTCCAGTAACGTAAAGGCAGAAGAAGTTTTGAATAATGTAATGTGAGGGGGGAAATATCAAAGCTTACAAGCTGTGTATGAATTCATATTTGATCCAAAAGGAATGTGATTAAACACAGCTGTGTTTAAAGAACTATGGGCCTGAGTCTTCTCATTTACAGTGGAATAAATAAGGAATAATTCAGCTGAAGTCCGTGCAGGTCCATCAGGGTAAAAACAATACAGATGAGTGCAGAATCAGGCCCTGTAACTTTAGCTAAAACTATGTCATATAAAATACCTCCAGGTTTGAGGAATGTAATAATGGCTGTGCGAGACCTTCTGTCATATCTCACATCCTTTACTTCTCCTCCTCCTTGTTTGGATTTGTAGAAATTCAGTTCTATTTTGTCTCTGATCCACTCATCAGGTATTGGTAGATGTGGTACTTCAGAAACATTGATCTTCTCTCCAGAAATTGTTACATGGAGCTAACAAAAAATATACTTTATTTTCTTTATGTGCTACAGTACCTGTTCGATACAGTTTTTGAAAACAAAAGTACATATTCTTGAAGCATCTCAAAATTTTTTATATTGACTTGTCAATTACCTCAAATTTGACTCCTGTTTCTAGTGTAACCGGCATTGCTTTCAACTCTATCTTTTCATTATCCAGGCTCACAGTATGCTTCTCTCTTCTTATCAGTTTCTGGGCAACTGCAAGGGAAATTAAGAAGACTTTCAGATAGCTTTACACTAATGAAAAGTATTCCCTAGTGCCCTTAGCCAAAAATCTCTTTTGCATCACCAAAAGTGAAATAAATGGGAATGAGGTGCCTAAGTGCTTTTGAAAATCCCACTAGGCACCTATCAGCTTTGTTAGGTGTTTAAATACCTTTTTAAAATCTCACCACTGTATGCAATGTGCATCACTAGTAAAGTATTTTAGGATCATCAGTATGAAAGATGCTATCCCTATATACAATATTATGGCTAAATCGCTACCAATAAGAAACATTTTGATTCCAGCTAAGAGTTAATTGAGAAATAAGGCAGGCTCTTGCTTTATGTGAAATTTTATTTACTAGTTTGCAAACAAACTATTCGGTTTAATTTAAATCTGGATCAACTAAGTTCCAAACTCCAACTCCACTGCAGGCTCGGGTTGCCTGCATTTTAATGGAGTACAGCTGTGTCTGGAAGAGGCTGATGTAGGGAAAACTGCCCTATATCAATTGGCAAGGATTTACTAATATTGACTATAAGTCTGTACATTAATGTTGTGAAAGATAACATTGACTGATCCAAAGCCCACTGAAGTCTGCAGAAAGACTTGCATTGATCTCCATGGGCTACAGATCAGGCCTCATCCCTCTGTGAGGTAGGATCTATGTAACTGAGGGTCGACTGCTGGTATTCTGTGAACACCTGTCAGCTGAGTTTAATTGGACTAGAGCTGATGCTAACATAGTTGGCAAAATTCTCCTCTCATAAGATGCAGTTGTCTAACTCTGTGCACTCATCTGAGTGCAGAATTGGGCTCTGAATGTAGAGAAAGTGGGAGTTATTAACTGATTGTCTCAATATTGTCTTCACCTTTATTTGTGATACCATGAAAATGTTTGCATTAAGGCTGAGAGCCAGATTCTGGTGCTCTTACTCACTGTAAGCAGGTTCTCCCTCCAGCCCTGGAAACCCAGGCTAGTTAGCCCTGCTGGTGATCAAATAAATTGTTGTTTAACCCCATATCCCTTGCTGTTAACATGAAATACATTAATAGTTATATTTAAAATATGGACCATACCATCCTCCTCTTCAAAAGTGAGAAGAGCTTGTCTTTGCTGCAATCTGAATGGAATTTTTGCAGCTATGTGAAAAAGGCAGCAAGTATTCAAAAATGTGTCGTCACTCTCAGCATTTTCCATCCTAGTAAACTTCATTTTCTTTTTCGGTATCTCTCTTTTAATCTAATATTGTAGAACCAAGACAGGAAATGACAAAGTTTAAATAATTTATTAAGCAACTGAAAAAATGTACAGTAATTTTTTTAAGGCTTATATACAGTAGGGCTGAATTCACTACTGATGTAACTGGACTGAAGCAGGACCAAGTAAACCTAGACCATCCCTGACAGGTGTGTGTCTATCCTGTTCTTACAAACTTCCAGTGATGGAGATTCCCCAACCTCTCTTGGATCCTATGTCCCCCTAAGGAGTTTGGTCTGTAAGCTTTTACTTTTCCTCCCCAATAAACTTTGAGCCCAAACTTGTCCTTAGGTACTAAAACTCCAGTTGAAGTAAATAGGGATTCTACCTGCAGGATCAGAGCTTTGATGTGTAGAACTTTTAACACCAAAGGAAGTACAAAACATTGTGCATAAGCCGATATCACAAAGCAGTTTATGGTTACTATTTGTGCTACATTGACGGTAGCTCTTTGATAATAGAAGGCCTGCTAAAATTGCCTTGCACGTTATTAACTTAGTAAAATAAACATGAATGTTACAGTGTTTCATGACATTTGCAGCAGTGTAGCCAAAAGAGAGTTCTGATTCTGAACTCACCCATATTATACCAATATAACTCCATTGACTTCAAATGATTTGCATGCTACAAGTGAGATCAAAATTAGGCTACATGCAATTTCGGAAAATGAAAGTGACAATCATGGTTTTTTTTTTTTCTGGTAATGGACAAGTCCCTTTTCTTTTGACTCCCCTTTCTGACAGAGATATAAAATATGAACTCATGAACCTGTTATGCACTTTTTTCTTTCAATTTTTTCCATTAAAACATGTACTGATCTTTCTTGTATCTCCCAGTTTTATATTTCCATTTTCCCCCCCACTGTCAAGTGCATTTATTAACTTTGCCAGATAGAGAATGAGAAGGAAAGCAATAGCTGAATTTCATACTGAAGTCAATGGAGCTACACCGATTTACAAAACTGATGATCTGGCCCGTAGAGTGTAGAAATTCAGAAGTAAAATGTGTCCATTTGAAAGCTATATTGTAAATATTTCAAATAGCAATTACCCGAAAATCCTGTGAAAGCTTTGAACTCTTTGCTGCAAGGTCATCTTTGAGCTTCTGAATCTCCCTCCGCAGCTCAATATTTTGCTGCTTTACTACAGTAAGATTTCTCTGCAGATTACAAATATATATATATATATATATATATAATAAAATGCATAATATGTAGAAGAGTCAAATTTTGTATTTCAGTAAAAAGTAGTAGGCACTAGAAATTGGAAAATGAATTTCCGTTTTTAATCTTTTGCTAAAAATAACCAACCACGCAACCATCAATGGCATGAACAATTATGAGATAGATTAAAGCAATGGTACAAATTACTATCCAGTAGGTAAGTTTGCTGTCCAAGGAACAGCTCCATTCAACTTAAATAAGAAAAGTAAGATTTCTGAAACATTTACATACCACCATAAACTTACACTGCACTTTACACAGTTAGGCCCTGAACTTTCATATACACAAGAGGGATTTATATATGTGAACAGCCTCGTTGAGTTCAATGAAATTAATTGTGTGCATTAAATTATTTGTGTGCAGGATGGGGTCCTAGATAATCTATATTCCCTGTCCTGAACAGTTTACAAACTGAGGGCCAGTTCTTGGCCCCCTCCCACTCCACTCCCTTTATGCCACTCAAGAGGTAAAAGAGAAGCAGAAACCAGCTGCATTTCCACAGCTCTGGATTTCCTAGGTGTAGGGGAATCCTGAGTGGGTATACAGCCAATGTAACCAGCTCCCATGCTAGCTGTCTTGTGGTGCCCTGCATAGGGAACACATCAGGATTAGAAAGGGGATATGGCAGAAATGATGAGCTCCAGTTATCCAGAACTAGTGGGTGGCTCCTTTAGCACCATTATCAGCTCATGGCATTTACATCAGTTCCCAGACTGCTCTAATATCTACCAGGGATGGTGAAAACAAAAGTTATGGGTTTGATGTAGAAATTACACGGTAAGAGTCTATGCCCCCAGTGTTGTGCAGGTCAGACTAGGTGATCATAATGGTGTCTTCTGACTTTAAAATCTATGAATCCATGATCAGAGCGCCACAGTAGCTCTCTGAGAACATCCCAAAGAGCAGAATGAGTACAGCAGAGGACTTGGGGTTTAGAGCCTGATTCTGCAAATGCTTGTGCATCTAAGTGGCTTTACCAATGAATAATCCGATTGACTTTGGCTGGGAGTACGTACATTTGTAAAGTTACTCACATATGTAAAGTGTTTTCAGGATTAGGCTCCAAATAAGATAAGACAAGACACAGAATGATGACAATGCAGAGAGGATATAGGTTATTGATAAGAGAAAGAAAGGATTGCTTGAAATAGAGGGTTTTCAGGAGGGATCTGAAAGAGGACAGAGACAGCACCTGTAGGATGAGGACAGGGTATTCCAGGTGTAGCAACAAGTTACAAGCACAAAGCTGACTAGAAAAAAGAAAAAGGGCACAGTGAAGTAAGAGGACTGGGAGGAACATAACGGGGAAGTAACAACAGAGATGTAGAATGAGGCAAAACCATGTAGAGTCATGAACACGAGGACAAGGGGCTTGAATTTTATATATTTGGCTACTTACATTCTTCTACTATGTCTGAAGTTCTCTGTAAATTAATGTACCAGCAAAACAAATTAAATCCATTATTTATTGGCTTGAACATCATCTACATGAAAATCATTATTAAAAATACCTTGGGATATTGAGATAATAGCCTCTGAGCTACAGCTCATAGGTCAAATCTAAAACTGTACTGCAAATCTCTTTCCCAGATAAGCCACAACCATCAGCCCCTGACAGTCTAGGAAGAGTTCACTGCCTATCACTCATGTTCCAAATGCCTAGATTACATACCCCAAGGACAATTACCAACTCATTCTAAAAGGAAGCAGAGGATAACTTTGCCATCCTTGGTAAGTAAACTTTTGTGTTTTTATGCAGCTATGTTAGCTGCAAATTTTCTCAGTTTGCAAGCTCTCTACAGTTATGTAGAAATGACTAACTCTCCTGAATGCTCTAAGCTTTTATGAGGAGTTTTATTAGGAAGTTTTGTTTTAAAGTGTTCTTTATGTAATTTGATAGCGCAATTGAATGACCCAACTCAACACAATGTGGACTTTAGTAAATTGTAAGACTGTGCTCAGTGGGAACCTTGGACCAGGTGAAGGCAAATTCTGTTAGCCATCATTTTTTACCTGTGATGTAGAAAGTCTTAGCTTTGCATGCATTCTTTCAAATAATTACTGCAAGATTTTTTTTTTTAAATCGTGTAACTTCTGTTTTTTTTTATAAAATGATGTGCTAAATATTCTGGCCCTACAAAATGTAGCTCTGATGGCGCTGTTTGGATTGAAAGGGGAAAGTACTCCAACCTACAAGGAACACTTCTACAGCTCTTCTCCAAATGTTGATAGCTATGGGTAAATTCTCTTATTACCTCCTGGTTTTCCTTTTTTATCATGCTCTCCTTACATTGCTCCTCTTCTAAATCCATTAGCTTTCTCAGCTCATCTTGTGTCTGGTCTCTCTTTCCATCAGCACTTAGTTTCAAAAGAAGGAGCTCATCTTTTTGTTTTTCAGCTTTTTCCAATCTTTCCTTGACATTGAAAACAACAAGTACTTTAGTATATTTTCATTAGAGCAAACAAAACATTGTAAAGTCGGTTTAAAAGCAATCTTTGGGCAATTTTTTTCTTTTGGACACATGCATGCTGCTGCTGGCTTCAGTGGAAACCTAAGAGCTGTACAGTTCATACGCACCTTCCATTTTTCTAGTTCTTCTTTAAGATTGTCAATCTCATCTATCTGTGCACCAGAATGGTCAATAACTTTCAGATTCTAGAAAGACAAGAAAACGCACAGTACTATTTTTTTCACTCTATAATATCACAATATATGTCATGCTAGAGAGACTACATTCACTTGTTAAATCGTTATCTGTACAAATCATACCAGCAGTGTTCAAACTATACTAGTAAACTGAAAAGAATAACACTTTGCACTAGTTTGAAATATTTTGCCACTGTAGTTATTAGTTAATCAGTGACATGACAGTCCAGTTCTTGACTGAGAGCCTTTTGCTGCTTCTCTGCAACTCTGCCAGTCCAGGTGGGTGATGGGGAGAAAGTGCCGATTAGGCAAATCTGATAGAGACATGCTGAATTAGATATTTCCAGTATTTTCATGCAGAAGTATAACAGATGCACTATAACAATGAGTTTCTCATTTTTACTCTTTCACTTCAATAAGTCTTGACAGTTAGACAGAAATCACTGAACTACTGTTGTGGTTGGAAAGGATATAAATCTCAGAAAATGGATTTTGGTCATTAAACATGGGGACCTAATTGGAACTATTATCCAACTGCAAACTAGGGCTAATAGTTCTGACACACCGTGGAGGCATGCTGCCCCATGTTCTTCCAAAAAGAACTAAGATCAGTGTGGTCAACTGAGGTCAATGGTTTACTCACAGTGTATAAAGTTATATAGATAGCCTTGGCAGAATTTGCTTATTTTTTTTTAATAATTTCAATGGATAATATCAATGTTTATTTTTAAGCATTTTTATCAATTTAAATTTTCACAGTTGTGGGAAATTATGGGGGAGTAAGATAACTAATGCTAGCATCTATTGAGATTCAAAAAGTTAAAGCTTTATAATTGTTAAAACACAATTTGTCAGAATCGCATCAAAATATACAAAGCAAATGTCCTTCAATCAACAAATCATACTTGTTTTTACTATTCATTTCGCTAGTCCATTTGTAACAAGCCTAATATAAAAGTTTAAATCATTACTTGGGCAGCATTTTCCTTACTTTGCCTATTTGTAAATTTCAGTTATTATTGATGGAAATTTTTGTGTGTGAACAGTGAAATTGACATTTACCAACAAAATTCTAATCCCTCCAAGCCTAGTTATAGGTGTAGAAGTCTTTGCAGGAGCAGGACCTTAGATGATTAGATTGCCAAGAATAACATAGGGAGAGAAAAATAGGATCAAAAAGTATTTCAGAATTTAAAAATTAGAATGCAGAAGTTCACATACAGAGAAAACTTGTAGCTGGGCTGAGCACCAGAAATGAAGGGAAAAACCCTTCTTGCTCCATTTTATTTCTGGTTGCAATATTCTGAAAGAGAAAAATTCCAGAAAGACCTGCAGAAAAATCCCTCTTGTTTCACTTAAGATTACGTAAAACTGGAATGTGAATCATAAAATTTAGGCATAGAAAAGACCTATTAGGTAATCGAGTCAGTTTCCATGCCAAGCTGGATATTCCACAAAATATTTTCTACAAAATATTTTCCAGTGCTTTGTCCCGTCTAGTTTTTTTTTTTAAGTGTGATAGGAAAAGAGAGAGAGAAAGGAGATACAGGCTATAATTGGAAACTGTTCAGAAAAAAAAATGCCTATTTATTACTGAAAAATATCTTACAGCACCAGCTAAACATCTCCATTTAGAGATCTCTTTTTCAAATAGATTCTTACAGCATGGCACAACAGAAAATACTTACAATAGAGTCATCTTTTAAGGAACATGGTTGACTTGTTAAATCCATTGAACCCTGAGGAAATAGAAACAATACACCACTTTCACAATATGTAGAATATACAGGATAGTATAATAACCTGAGAGCAAGACATGCCAAGATTTCTACAGTGCACAACTTAAGGCTTTGATACGGCAAACACTTAAGCATGTGTTTAACTTTATGCATACTGCATAAAGTTAAGCATGTGCATAAATCTTTGCAGGTCTGGGATTTATGGAAATAATCTGCACATCTCATGCTTACACTGAAGTTTGATTTAGTCTTGAGGAAATTAACATTAATGCAATAAAACTGCAAACTAACTTAACTGAGGCTCATATTGGAAATCTGATCCATGAATAGAATTCTTATTAAGTGTGAATTGGAAATTTTTGAACAAAAATGGATAACGGCCTTTCCTTTTGAATGTATTATTTGTATTGCAATTGCAGCTAGATGCCCCAATTAGGATCAGGATTCCACATAATACTTGTGATTGTATTGAATGCAGGCACTGATGCTGATGTCATATCCCATTATAGTACATCAAAGAATCAATGTTAGAGAAAATAATTTGTTATCATGGCAGGACTTGTTTTCACAATAACGTTAACTAATCACAACAATATTGTGAGGGAAGTAAAGCACTTAACTATGTTAGAGATGAGGAAACTGAGACAATGAATAAAACCATCTCTTGGTTATTTCCCTATATAACACAAAGTATGATGATTTTAAAAATAATTATTTTACCAGAATAGCAGCATCCTAGATAAATATACAGCTAATTAGATTTTTTTTCAGTATAAAGATTATTATTTCATAAAATACAAAGATAAAAATAACATACTTCATTATGAGTTATAAGGCCAGTGTTCTATTATATTTAATATTACAATAATACGAGGATGTTCATATTGAAACACACTGGAAAAAGTTTATCCTGGAGGTAGTGAAGTTCCATATAAGAGCAAGGATCCACTTGTGCACATGTGATGTCAGGACAGGGCAGGGCGGGGGCTACAAACGTTTTCAGAGTTGTCCCCTTAGCTTTCAAATATTGTATGCACTTGCTTAATTACATGCAAGTAGTGCATTAGCAGGATCAGGGTGGTGTTAATTTTTATATGTTTATCTTGTTGTGTCAGGACCACACCTTCCCTTCTGCAGTATTGCCAACCCCAAGTGTTCCAAATAACATTTTAAACGTGCCTCATGATTATCAGATTTTTTCCCAAAAAAGGGTTAGTTTTATGTGATTTCTGGTTTCCAAGCTTTCAAGCATACTTGGGTTATATTTTTAAGCTTTTCTCTGCAACCAGGAGGGCTAGAAAGTTGCACAGCTTTTTCTGGTTTTATTTTAATGAAATCTGCAATTCTCACACATTCACTTGTCTCTAGGAGGTGGGGCATACAGTAAAACTTCTGTAAGCCTTGCGATAAAATCACAAGTTAGCACCACTGCTTCTGCTTGGAAAGCACCTAGAACACTTCGAGTGCCATTCAAAAGAAATAACAGTAATAATATTATCCACATAAAAATCTGCTATATGTAACATACCAAATAATCATAGAATCATAGGACTGGAAGGGACTTCGAGAGGTCATCTAGTCCATTCCCCTACAGTCATGGCAGGACTAAGAATTATCTAGACCAGCGGTGGGCAACCCATGGCCTGTCAGGGTAATCTGCTGGTGGGCCGTGAGACAGTGTTTACATTGACCGCCCGCTGGCGTGGCCACGGTTCGCCATTCCCGGCCAATGGGAGCTGAGGAAAGCGGCGGCCAGCATGTCCCTGCGGCTCGCGCCGCTTCCTGCAGCTGCCATTGGCCAGGAACGGTGAACCATGGCCACTGGGAACTGTGGGCAGCTGTGTCTGCAGACGATCAATGTAAATAAACTGTCTTGCGACCTGCCATGGGATTACCCTGACTGGCCACGTGCAGCCCACAGGCTGCCCACCATTGATCTAGACCATCCCTGACAGGTATTTGTCTAACCCACTCTTAAAAATCTCCAATGATGGAGATTCCACTGCTGTAGTCTGGAGCCCAACAGCTCTGCCTTACTCTTGGGTAGTTCCAAATCCCTGACAAGGTCATTCAGTTCACCTTGTGTTATGAGGTGTGGTTCAGAGGAGGAGGATGGGAGAAAATGTGGGTCCTGTGACATTGATGGTTCAGGACCACAAGTTTCATCCTCTTCCTCTTCTGATTCAAGTGAGAATGATTCTGGTGCATCAGGAACCGGCAGTCCTTCTCCGTGGGGTACTGGGCGTATAGCTGATGGAATGTTTGGATAATGCACAGTCCACTTTTTCTTCTTTGACACACCTTTCCCAACTGGAGGCACCATGCAGAAGTAACAATTGCTGGCATGATCTGTTGGCTCTCTCCAAATCATTGGCACTGCAAAAAGCATAGATTTCCTTTTCCTGTTCAACCACTGGCGAAGATTTGTTGCATAAGTGTTGCAGCATATGTGTGGGGCCCACATCTTGTCCTGATCTCCAATGTTGCAGCCAAAATAAAGGTGATAGGCTTTCTTAACCATAGTGGTTATACTGCGCTTTTGTGATGCAAAAGTCACTTCACCACAAACATAGCAGAAGTTATCTGCACTGTTCACACAAGTACAAGGCATCTCTGCTCACTTTGGCCAAACAGAAATGTGTCCCTTTGCAAAATCAAACACTGACAAATAAGAGCACGACATTGTATGATTTCTAGAGCGGATATAGGGCAATTTGTTCAGCAGAGTGATGTAAGCTTCGTTATGATTGCATCATCCATGACTTCTAGGAATAACATGATGCAATTCATATCATGTATGACGCAATACCAGCTTCAGATTGCATCATTCATTGTTTTGCCTAAAAAGCAACTACTGTCCAAACCCAGTCATAGATTTATTCATAGATCCAGTCAAAGATGTATTTTAGTCATTTCTGGTTTAAATTGAGATCCCTTCCCTTTATAACTCACTTATCCTCCGCCATTCCCAAGTCAAGGGTCGTATATACTGACCCAATAGCATATCTTGAAAACTAGAACCAATTAACAATTTTAAGCATCATTTTCGTTCTTAGTGACCCAAAATTAGTAAAGTTTGACTACATTTATTTCAGAAGCATTTTGGCTGTAGAGCAGTGTTATCTAGACCATTCCTGACTAACTGTTTGGTTAGTTTGGCTAACCTGCTCTTAAAAATCTCCAATGATGGAGATTCCACAACCTCCCTAGGCAATTTATTCCAGCGCTTAACTTTTCCTAATGTCTAACCTAAACCTCCCTGGCTGCAATTTAAGCCCATTGCTTCTTGTCCTATCCTCAGTGGTTAAGAAGAACAATTTTTCTCCCTCCTCCTTGTAACAACCTTTTATGTACTTGAACATTTATCATGTCCCCTCTCAGTCTTCTCTTTTCCAGACTAAACAAACCCAGTTTTTTCAATCTTCCCTCATAGATCATGTTTTCTAGACCTTTAATCATTTTTGCTGCTCTTCTCTGGACTTTCTCCAATTTCTCCACATCTTTCCTGAAATGTGGCATCCAAACCTGGCACAATACTCCAGTTGAGGCCTAATCAGCACAGAGTAGAGCGGAAGAATTACTTCTTGTGTCTTGCTTACAAGGCTCCTGCTAATCGCTTTTTTTGCAACAGTTTTACACTGTTAACTCATATTTAGTTTGTGGTCCACTCTGACCCCCCAGATCCCTTTCCACAGTACTCCTTCCTAGGCATTTCCCATTTTGCATGTGTGCAACTGATTGTTCCTTCCTAAGTGGAGTACTTTGCATTTGTCCTTATTAAATTTCATGCTATTTACTTCAGACCATTTCTCCAGTTTGTCCAGATCATTTTGAATTTTAATCCTATCCTCCAAAGCACTTGCAACCCCTCCCTGCTTGGTATCATCCACAAACTTAAGCTTACTCTGTATGCCATTATCTAAATCATTGATGAAGATATTGAACAGAACTGGTCCCAGAACTGATCCCTGCTGGACCCCACTCATTATGCCCTTCCAGCATGACTGTGAACCACTGATAACTACTCTCTCTGAACAGTTTTCCAACCAGTTTTGCACTCACCTTATAGCAGCTCCATCTAGGTTGTATTTCCCTAGTTTGTTTATGAGACAGTCATGCGAGACAGTATCAAAAGCTTTACTAAAATCAAGATATACCACATCTACCGCTGCCCTCCTATCCACAAGGCTTGTTACCCTGTCAAAGAAAGCTATCAGGTTGGTTTGACATGATTTGTTCTTGACAAATCCATGCTGACTGTTACTTATCACCTTATTATCTTCTAGATGTTTGCAAATTGGTTGCTTAATAATTTGCTCATTATCTTTCTGGGTACAAAAGTCAAGCTGACTGGTCTGTAATTCCCCGGGTTGTCTTTATTTCCCTTTTTATAGATTTGGCACTATATTTGTCCTTTTCCAGTCTTCTGGAATCTCTCCCATCTTCCATGACTTTTCAAAGATGGCTAATGGCTCAAATATCTCCTCAGTCAGCTCCTTGAGTATTCTAGGATGCATTTCATCAGGCCCTAGTGACTTGAAGACATCTAATTTGTCCAAGTAATTTTTAACTTGTTCTTTCCCTTTTTTAGCCTCTGATCCTACCTCATTTTCATTGGCATTCATTATGTTAGACGTCCAATCACCACCAACCTTCTTGGTGAAAAACAAAACAAAGAAATCATTAAGCACCTCTGCCATTTCCACATTTTCTGTTACTGTTTTTTCCCCCTCATTGAGTAATAAACCTATCCTGTCATTGGTCTTCCTCTTGCTTCTAATGTATTTGTAGAATGTTTTCTTGTTACCCTTTACGTCTCTAGGTAGTTTAATCTCGTTTTGTGTTTTGGCCTTTCTAATTTTGTCTCTACATACTTGTGTTATTTGTTTATATTCATCCTTTGCACTTTACAAGCCACCAAAATCTCTTTATACCTACTCTTTAAAACCTTGGTGACTGTGATTATTTACCATCATGTGTGTTCCGTGTTCGGTCAATAACCAAGAGGTGTTTTTCAGAGCGACAGCATCACACCCAGTCCCTGGTGTGCATGCGCCTTTACAACCCGCCCTTACGAAGCCAGCTTGGAATTTGCGCTTGCATCTTTCCCTGGCCTTAGCCGCTGCCTGGCCCATGAAGACCCAGCTCTTTAAGGGAACCCAAACCAGACAGGGTACGCGCTGCAGTCCCCTACCCGCTCTGCCAGCACCGGCAGAGCCCCGGCTCCCGGCTGCCATCACACTGCGCGCTGACTTTCAGTTTCGCTTTCGGAGCGGAGGCCGGGGGCTAGGGAGGGGGCGGCTGCGGCGCGGAGCAGCGTGCCCGCCCAGCCGGCCCAGGCTGCACTTACAGGGGTGGGGGGCGGCGAGACAGGCGCTGCTGTGCGTGGATCGGGTCCCCCGGCGCGCTCCAGCCCCCGGGCCCGTGGAGTAGCAGGCGAGCAGACAGCAGCACTAGCAGCCGCAGCTGGTCTCCACTTCCCGGCAATGACGTGGCAGGGAGGTGTTTGCAGGGGCAGCCTGCCCGCAATGACGCCTCCCCTCCGCCCAGCCCCAGCGCGCCAGCGCAGGGGGATTGCAGGGGCTGGGCTCTCAGCCGTCAGCGTCCCCACCCCTCGGGCAGCGGCTTCCCTCCCCCGGCGCGCTGGAAAATTACTCTCTGCCCAGCCCCGGGGAGCCTTGTGCCGCGCTCCGGAAACAGACTCCAGTGGGAACCAGCCGCTGTGGTCGGGGTGGCCCTGTTTTACCCAGCCAGTGCACAGGCGTCCTGCGGGCAGACGCCGCACCCTATGGGGTCGGCTCCCTTTTCCAGCCATGCTGGCTCTCATCCAGCGCTGGCACTGTAAGGCACCCTGCTCCCATGTTATGGGCATCAGAGTTCCTGCCAGCCCAGCTCTGTATGTTATCCACCTGGATCCAGCACTCCAGAGTACTTCCCGGTGCTGCTGCCCCTCAGGTGGTCCCTTCTAGCACCTCTCCCCCATCTGGATTCCTGCTCCGTTTCCACACTAGCATATTGCAGGACGTAAGGAAGGACTACCGTACACTAGAAGCAGTGGTGGATTAGCCACCATGCCAACGTGACCCATGCCCAGGGCACCCGGCCAATTGGGGGGGTGGAAAAATTGGCACGCCTGCGCCCCAACCTGCTCTGGCCACCCGGCGCTTCTGTCAGGGAGTGGGGTCAGGGTGCAGGGGCTTGCTCAGCCTGCCTGGCGCTTCTGCCAGGGAGCGGGACAAGACCCCGTGCCCTGACCCCACACCCTGGCAGGAGCACCAGGCAGGCGGAGCGGAGCAAGCCCCAGCGCCCCAACCCCACTCCCTGGCAGAAGCGCCAGGTGGGCAGAGCGGGTTGTGGTGCAGGGGTGCCCCCAATTGGCCAGGGCCCCCGGCATGGGCCATGTTGGCCCAGTGGCTAATCCGCCCCTGCTTCTAGATGCTCTGTGCCAACATGAGAGAGTTTTCCCGTTGGCATAATAAAACCACCTCTGCCAGAGGTGATAGCATCAGTGGGAGAAGCTCTGCTGAGGTAGCATTGTCCACACTGGCACTTAGGTCAGTGTAACTTACGTTGCTTGGGGGAGGGGGATACTTATTCACACCCCTGAATGACATAAATTATGCTGACATAATCTGTAGTACACCTCTACCCCGATATAATGCTGTCCTCGGGAGCCAAAAAATCTTACTGCGTTATAGGTGAAACTGCGTTATATCGAATTTGCTTTGATCCACTGGATTGCGCAGCCCCGCCCACTCCTCCTCCCCCCAGAACACTGCTTTACCGCATTATATCCAAATTTGTGTTCTATCGAGTCACATTATATCGGGATAGAGGTGTATACACAAGCCCTAAGATTGGGAGTAGACTGGGAATGGAGCAATCCAATAGAAGGTCCATGGCTATGCAGAGCTAATTGCCACACAGCAAAGAGGTATGCAGTGTAGTTGTAGCCGTGTTGGTCCCAGGATATTAGAGAGTTAAGGTGGGTGATATAATATCTTTTATTGGACCAGCTTCTGTTGGTGAGAGAAACAAGCTTTTGATCCTCAGACATAGGCACTAACTCCATGGGTGCTCCAGGACTCAGCACCCACCAGCTACCCAGCAATCAGCTGCTCGGCGGGCCCCACCAAAAAGCTGTTTGGTGGCACCAGTGGGCAGAAGGCACTGGGGGGAGGGTTGGGAAGAGGCAGGAGGAGGGTGGGGCCTCAGGGCAGAATAGGGGTGGAGCACCCCCCAGAAAGAAGAAAATTGGCATCTATGCACACAGAGCTCTTCCTCACAGCTGGGAAAGGTACTCCCAGCATCACAGCAAAATGCAAGGTAAAAGAGATTTTTTTAGCATAAGTAATTAGCATATATTGTAAAGGAGCATTCATGGGAGAGTGACCTGCTAGGGTTGCAGCAAGTATTCTAGGCCATGGCACGTGGCTGTGAGAGAGGCTGTATGCCCCCCACCCTACCCCATAGAGTGGGAGTAGATTCTTTCCCCCAAGTCCCGTGTAATTCCCTGCACAAAGAATGTTTACCTGAGCTCTGTGCATAGTGAGTGGATTTAACCCGTAGTGCATAGTCAATCCACTCTTTTGAAAATATAACTTGTAAATTGTAAATGGAGCTGGTATGTGTGACTCTGGAAAGAACCTTACGTAGATAAAGGGAAGAGTGAGGAGGTGATAACATGTAGCTTAGATACAGGGCCAGCTCCAGGGTTTTGACCGCCCCAAGCAGCCAAAAAAAAAAAAAAAACGCCACGATCACGATCTGCGGCAGCAATTCGGCGGGAGGTCCTTTGCTCCCAGCGGGAGTGAGGGACCGTCCGCCGAATTGCCGCCGAATACCTGGACGTGCCGCCCCCTCTCCGGAGCGGCCGCCCCAAGCACCTGCTTGCCAGGCTGGTGCCTGGAGCCGGCCCTGCTTAGATACAAAGACTTATGAAAATCTGAAAATTTCCCTGACAAGCCTGGATTGATGGTGAATTGGTTCTTCAGCATGATGAACCCTCTTGATATATCTAAAAATTAGAGGTAGAAAAGACATATTTGATATTTCAGATGAATGTTGTCCCTTCCTGTTGCTGGACAGCCCCAGGATTAGGGGTGGGGGGCTCAAAGGTGCTTATAAGTGCTTAAAAGGACCTCTGCACTCAGCTCCCACCCCCCGCCACTGAGCTGTGCCCAGTACAGCTTCACCACAGCTCAGGATCTGGATCACTGTTGTAACACTGCACCCCATATTTTCACAGGGATATTATTATGATAGGATTATGGCATAATTATGATGCATTTTGTACAAGATAAGTCATGAGGTGTCATTGAAAAAGTTATGATTTGCTGAATATGATTCTTATCTGTATGCATGTATCATTTTTGTATCTGAAGTTATGAATATTGCTTAGGGATCTGTATCTCAAATGGGCTTACTCTGGAAAACACCCACAACCAGCCTTTCAGGTACAACAATGAAGAAACCAGATGTGGCTGATGGCCCATCAGCAAAGACAATGAACTGTGGAATAGTTTAACCTTCCTATGGGCATTTTGGCCAGTCTGTAAGCAATGGCTGCTATAACACTGCAAGGACATGACCAGGCCACATGATTCTGGATTCCATCTTGGGATGTCTGTATTTTTCCATAAACCAGTCTGGGAACCAAGTTTTGAAACAAAGGGTTCCTGCCGTATGCTAAAGCTATATAAGGCAGGAGTGACATCATCTGTTGTTCTTCACTCCCCACACAAGGAGACTCCTGGGGGAAATGCTGGACCCAGGCTAAAGGGATTTCTAGCCTGTGTATAAAAGACCTGGGGATTCTAAGCTGTAAAGCAAGTGCACCTTGCCCCTTAAAAATCTGTAGCCTGCCTGTACCATCAATTAGGGTGAAAATCAGATTGGATATGAATTAGCAATCTAGTATATTAAGTTTATCTTGCGTTTTTGTTTATTTACTAGGTAATCTGCTTTGATCTGTTTGCTATCACTTATAATCACTTAAAATATATCTTTTGTTGTTAATAAACTTGTTTTTGCTTTATCGGAATCAGTGATTTTGGTGTGATGTGTGTGAGTATCTTAGCTCAGAGGGGCTGTTGTATATTCCTCTCCACGTTGGAGGGGAGGTGAACTGGATAATAAATTCATACAGGTTGGGGTTTGGACCAGGGCAGGACAGTACCGCTCTGGGGTCCTAGGCTGGAAAGCTGGGAGTGATTTTGGCTGTAGCCTCCCTATTGCTGGTTCACATACAGTGGCTGGTCAGAGAGCCTGCATGTAACTGCAGCTGGGTGTATCTCTATCTGTGTGGATGCTGATGGAAGTGTAAGACCGGAAGCATGTCTGTAGCTTGTCACAGCAGCACAGCATGAAAGGGAACCCAGGCTGGTGAGTCAGAGGGCTCAGTGGTACCCCAGTTCCAGGTGGCACCCCGGGGGGAACCCGTCACAACAGTAATTAAAGATCCCAGGGCAGTTTTGGAGAAGTAAAGTTTTCTGATATTCATCTTCAATATATCCTTTTTCACTTTAATTCTTGTCAGACCAGAGAAATATATCTGAGTGGGAGAATCTAACTGTACTTAGGTACCAGATACCTCTCTCCTATAATACAAAGCATGATTGGAAGGATCCATTTTCCACCCCAAAATGGTTATGACTTAAACAGTCAATACTGATTTGCATTATTTACAGGAAAGCTTCTGTCAAGGCTCCTTCCCCACTCTGAACTTTAGGGTACAGATGTGGGGGCCTGCATGAAAACTTCTAAGCTTAACTACCAGCTTAGATCTGGTTTTGCTGCCACCACTCCCAAGTGCTAATTCCCTTCCCTGGATAGCCTTGAGAGACTTCTTCACCAATTTCCTGCTGAACACCGATCCAAACGCTTGGATCTTAACACAAGGAGAGTTTAACCATCCCCCCTCCTTTCCCTCACCAGTTCCTGGTGAGTCCAGATCCAACCCCTTGGATCTTAAAACAAGGAAAAATCAATCAGGTTCTTAAAAAGAAGGATTTTAATTAAAGAAAGAAAGGTAAAAATCATCTCTGTAAAATCAGGATGGAAAATAACTTTACAGGGTAATCAAACTTAAAGAGCCCAGAGGAACCCCCTCTAGCCTTAGGTTCAAAGTACAGCAAACAGAGTTAAACACTCTAGTAAAAGAAACATTTACAAGTTGAGAAAACAAAGATAAAACTAACACGCCTTGCCTGGCTGTTACTTACAAGTTTGAAATATGAGAGAGACTTGTTCAGAAAGATTTGGGGAGCATGGATTGATGTCTGGTCCCTCTTAGTCCCAAGAGCGAACAACCCCCAAAACAAAGAGCACAAACAAAAGCCTTCCCCCCACCAAGATTTGAAAGTATCTTGTCCCCTTATTGGTCCTTTGGGTCAGGTGTCAGCCAGGTTACCTGAGCTTCTTAATCCTTTACAGGTAAAAGGATTTTGGTGTCTCTGGCCAGGAGGGATTATAGTATTGTACACAGGAGGGCTGTTACCCTTCCCTTTTAGTTATGACAGCTTCTGAAATATGTCCTAACAGTTTTGGAATGTTTCAGTTCCACTCTGACTAAGGTCCCGGAACATTACTGTGTGGAACTACTGTGAGTTAGTCCAGCAGCCCCAGCACAACTACTAGAAAGAAAACAATGAAGTAAATAGAATTTAAGAGATGCAATATTTCGTCTGAGCCAAATCCTGGTTCTTTGGCTACAAATCAGACCACTCCCTGAGCCACACAAAGAAACATTGTTTCCACAGAAAGTTTCCGTAGTTTCTTAGTATTAGTTATTTAGTTTCTAGATGGAAGAACAAATTTTAGCAGTAACAC